CATACATACATACATACATACATACATACATACATACATACATACATACATACATACATACATACATACATACATACATACATACATACATACATACATACATACATACATACATACATACATACATACATACATACATACATACATACATACATACATACATACATACATACATACATACATACATACATACATACATACATACATACATACATACATACATACATACATACATACATACATACATACATACATACATACATACATACATACATACATACATACATACATACATACATACATACATACATACATACATACATACATACATACATACATACATACATACATACATACATACATACATACATACATACATACATACATACATACATACATACATACATACATACATACATACATACATACATACATACATACATACATACATACATACATACATACATACATACATACATACATACATACATACATACATACATACATACATACATACATACATACATACATACATACATACATACATACATACATACATACATACATACATACATACATACATACATACATACATACATACATACATACATACATACATACATACATACATACATACATACATACATACATACATACATACATACATACATACATACATACATACATACATACATACATACATACATACATACATACATACATACATACATACATACATACATACATACATACATACATACATACATACATACATACATACATACATACATACATACATACATACATACATACATACATACATACATACATACATACATACATACATACATACATACATACATACATACATACATACATACATACATACATACATACATACATACATACATACATACATACATACATACATACATACATACATACATACATACATACATACATACATTACATTACATTACATTACATTACATTACATTACATTACATTACATTACATTACATTACATTACATTACATTACATTACATTACATTACATTACATACATACATACATACATACATACATACATACATACATACATACATACATACATACATACATACATACATACATACATACATACATACATACATACATACATACATACATACATACATACATACATACATACATACATACATACATACATACATACATACATACATACATACATACATACATACATACATACATACATACATACATACATACATACATACATACATACATACATACATACATACATACATACATACATACATACATACATACATACATACATACATACATACATACATACATACATACATACATACATACATACATACATACATACATACATACATACATACATACATACATACATACATACATACATACATACATACATACATACATACATACATACATACATACATACATACATACATACATACATACATACATACATACATACATACATACATACATACATACATACATACATACATACATACATACATACATACATACATACATACATACATACATACATACATACATACATACATACATACATACATACATACATACATACATACATACATACATACATACATACATACATACATACATACATACATACATACATACATACATACATACATACATACATACATACATACATACATACATACATACATACATACATACATACATACATACATACATACATACATACATACATACATACATACATACATACATACATACATACATACATACATACATACATACATACATACATACATACATACATACATACATACATACATACATACATACATACATACATACATACATACATACATACATACATACATACATACATACATACATACATACATACATACATACATACATACATACATACATACATACATACATACATACATACATACATACATACATACATACATACATACATACATACATACATACATACATACATACATACATACATACATACATACATACATACATACATACATACATACATACATACATACATACATACATACATACATACATACATACATACATACATACATACATACATACATACATACATACATACATACATACATACATACATACATACATACATACATACATACATACATACATACATACATACATACATACATACATACATACATACATACATACATACATACATACATACATACATACATACATACATACATACATACATACATACATACATACATACATACATACATACATACATACATACATACATACATACATACATACATACATACATACATACATACATACATACATACATACATACATACATACATACATACATACATACATACATACATACATACATACATACATACATACATACATACATACATACATACATACATACATACATACATACATACATACATACATACATACATACATACATACATACATACATACATACATACATACATACATACATACATACATACATACATACATACATACATACATACATACATACATACATACATTACATACATACATACATACATACATACATAACATAACATACATTACATTACATTACATTACATTACATTACATTACATTACATTACATTACATTACATTACATTACATTACATTACATTACACTACATTACATTACATTACATACATACATACATACATACATACATACATTACATACATACATACATACATACATACATACATACATACATACATACATGCATGCATGCATACATACATACATACATATATTCATATTAAAAGTACGGGCACGGGCATGTTGTTGTCGCCAATACGCTGTACACGCATAAATACCGGAAAAAAAAAAGGAAAAACAACAAGTCTGTGATGCTACATGTTTACATGTAGATGTGAATTTATAGACGCTCAGAACTCCATTTTGGACATATTATGAGCCCCCAAAGGTGGACACAAAACCAAGGGCGCGAACCGAGCCCTCGGGCAGGGTGCGGACTTCCCACCACCTGGAAACGCATCGACTCGTTTCTCCACAGCCGAAATAGGATTCGCAGTGGATCCAGCTACCTGTATGGCAGGCAACCAAGGAACAAAAACATGTAACAGGTCAAAAAGAAGTACTCGCTTCCCTGCGGAAGTGTTGACTGGATCCACCAGGAATTGTAGCCCTTCGACTATTTTCAGTCTTTGAAGGAGATTCATCCCAGAAGATGCGTTGCCCGCAGCGTCAATGTCCAAGCCGCTTCTACGGGAATTTTCGGGGCAACGCCAGCTCGAAGCCTCGCAAGGTTTGGATTGGCTTGGAGGCTTGGCCTTTCATTTGTGCTGCCAGCAAAAAGTAGAGGTCAAACAGGTGGAAACCCTCACCTATCTGAAGCACCGAATAGTAACCAGTACAACCTGATCCCGCACGCGGAGCAGATTTCACAGGCAACATATTTTGCCTAGCTGCCCTCTAGGATAGTTGGCGTCTATGATTCCAAATTCTCGCGACAAACAGCCGTCATGGGACAAGCATTGAACACTAAAGCATCTGATAAAAGCTTCTCGGGCTCATTCTGAATCCAGGGTGTGTGCTCTTCCAGAGCATAGCCTGAGATGCCTTGAACACCTATCCCTGGAATGCATCACGGCATAAGTTCAGCCAAACTAGCGCGGGGGGGGGGGGGGGGGGAAGGGGGAAGGGGGGGAAGGGGGAAGGGGGGGAAGGGGGAAGGGGGGGAAGGGGGGGGGCAAAACCAGCCAACAAGTATCTGACTGATCAAAAACAGATCTGACTGATCAATATCTGACTGACTGATCAAATATCTGACTCGTCTACCCTACCAAAAATCGAGCTGGGACCCCAAGAAAACCCCATCCTGGCCTCCATGGCCACGGCTGCGACCAGCGTAGCACATGTGCCCTTGGGGGGCTGAAGTCTGGGGCCTGGGGCCCTGGGGCCCTGGGTTGAAACCAAACCGAATCAAAGGCCGAGTTCGCAAATTTCCATAGGGGCTCGAAGTCGAATCGTGACGCCCGCCCTTTCAGACAAGCAAAACCTGAGGCAAAGGTGCTGAAACTGAAAGCAGCCCATGTGTTTTCGAGAGGGTTTAAGATCTGTCACTAGCGGTTGCCGGTTGCTTCAACGCTCCAGTCGACACCTTCTTCCCAAAACGCAGGTGCCTGGGAAGGGTGGAACATGTAGAACGTGCACGGATAGCCCAAACTCCTCCATATCATCACATGTATAGTGTGTATGCATACACGTCGCCATGTGTGTACATGAATAGGATACACATATACTGACAAATAAAAGATATACGCGTGTTCCGTAACTTGCACATGTTTTCTGTACAAGCGCATAATTTAGAGCAAGCAGCGGTGCAACCATGCCGCACACGGCTTGTTGTATACCCATGATCACACTCCTTGTGTACGGGCCAGAATGCTTTCCTTCATACGAACTCTCAACACCTTGAGCCTGTAGTTGGATGATCAGCCGATTCGACAAGCAAGGAATGGTGACTACGTCTGCTTCCATCGACACCCGCGTTCCGTGTTTCTCTCGAGGTTACCAGGTTGTATTCGGGCAAGGGTGACTGAGGGATCCACTTGGCCCACTTGCACTTAGTTGGGAGCTTGTTCGGAGCTTGCGCCACTTGCTCAGTAGGCTGTACCGATAATTTTGCCATGGTTACATGCGGGTATGTTGCTGAGGGTACCTCGTCTAGGCTTGTGTTCAGAGGTAAACCTAAGAAAACACGGGCCCCATGGGGCTTCCACGTCCCAAACAAACTGTACCCGAACCTTGATCCAAAGCTTTGGGTCTTCAGCACACTCCTATGTTGCAGACTTGCAGTGGATTGGTTCACAAAGGAGGGGACTGCTGTTGTGATCGCAAAAAATGGATAAGCACGCGGGAGCACCTTGAACCCCAGAAAAATGATTTGGGCTTGGGTCCTAGAGGCTGGTTAGGTTGTTAAGGGTCGCTTGAGCGCGTGTTGCCAGTGTTGGTTCGGTCAACCGGTTGGTCTCAAGTTGTACTGTGCGGATTGAGCTCAACTAGGGTGGGCTACGACATTTGGACGAGGCCGGTTCTTTGGGGCTGTAGGATTGGTTGAAGGGGGAATTGTCTGAAGGAGGCCCGTGGTTTTGTCAACGGGATAAAGCATATCTGTCTCCAAGTACAGGGCAAGCATGGGCAAGGTTTACCTTTCAGTACCAAAGGAAGGGTTCAACAAGTGGCCTTTACTCTGCAACTGGGCTGTTACGCCAAAACCCTAGTACCTCCCTGTCCCAGATTCCCTTTTAAAATTTCAGCCAGCGACTCTCCGCACCTTCACGTCTGGCAACATCGGCAACGGGAACCTCACCAGGCGATCGGATGATCGATCAGCTCTCGGCCGAAAACACGCGGGGGTCACACCAAAACGACCAAACACGTGGTGCAAAACGTCCAAAAGATCTACAAAGACACGTGCAAAACATGCACTTCAAACCCAAACAAATAAGTAAAACAAAGAAACACCCTCATGCAGGCCGAAGTTTTGTCTGCTGGGCAAGGGTGCGAGCATGCCAAACATGTAGTCAATGTGTGGAAGACTTGCCCCAAGCTCAAAAGAGGTGCTGAATGGTGGTTGCTTGAGTCGGACATCTCAGAATGCTCTACTCGTCACCAAACCTCAGAGCGAAACAAACACGTGGCCTTTTGGCAAAATAGATGGGCCTGATAAACGAGAAAAAACCGTCTAAACAAGGGCCATCTATTCTTAACCAAACAAACCTAAAAAGGGCACCTGTGGAAACAAACCCCACATTCCGAATGTTGGAACCTTCAAGTTCGAAGTCCGGGCAGGATGATGGCACCCATCATCCTAAGCCAAGTCGTGTGTCTTCACTGGCCAGACTCCGAAAGCCGCTGCTCTTGGCATGAGAAAAAGGGCGCGGATCTATTTTGGGCCTTTCTCGGGATTTTGGGGAAACACCTCCTAAAATAAGTACCCCTCCTGAGAGAACAACAAAAACACATGACAGGAAGGGCCGCGGGCCATTTCGGAACGCCCAGTCGCGACGCGCTCCGTTTCGCGGGCCCCAAAACGGCACGGCACGGCCCGTTTCGGTCCCCGGACACCTCGGGAGAAACGGCTGGTGTACCGCAAAGAACTAAAAATCCCGAATAGAACAAAACACATCACCGCATTGAGCTGGTCAACTAGGGATCACATAGAACAAAACACAAGCATTGAGCTGGTCCGGAGTCCAGGTGCTTTGCTTCGAGCTTTTTTTTGGCGCTGTTCTCTGTTCTCGCATGCTATGGCCTTCGAGCAAAACCGGTTTGGCTTTCGGAGTGTCCTTGCAAAAGTGCAGAGCCCAGCATTCGAATTCTATTTGCTGCAAGACCTCACGTTCAGCTCCGGTGCCGGCGCTCGTCATATTCACGAGGCAAAAGCCAAGTCAACATGCGCAATTCACCAAGGACAAACAACATGCGCAATTCTCCAGGCAAATGCTCCGGTCAGATTTTCGTACCATTTTCCGTACGTTTCCGGTTCTGCATTTGGCTGTTAAGACTATACAAACTTGCAAACTGTACAAGAGAACTACCACATGTGGCCTCAAACCAACTGGAGATATTAGGATGAGGCGGAAAAAGTCTAACGGATAAACTGTGGGAAAGCTCGAACGGCAACACCACAAACGATTTCTGTTCATGAACAAGCGCGCACGTACTTTGTTTTTGTGTGTGATTTTTTGGGATTACTCTTTTGGGGTTGGTTCGAAGGAAAACCAAAGGGACAGCACCATGTAGGGAGTTCCCTTCGTTTGAGGCACTCCCATCGGTTGGGAGTTTGACGACCGCCAAGTTCACATCCATCTCTAAGCTTCCGGCCTATGTCTAAGCAGCACAGCGAGTGCGACCGCCTCGAGGCACCGAGGCGCCGAGTGAGGCTGCAGGCAACTAGCAGGAGCAAGCCTTGGAAGACTCCGGTCGGACAATTAGGTGTGTCTCTTGTCAAGGGTACCTTTTGTGCATGTGGGGTTGCCTTAGTTGGCGGTTCTCCAACTGACTTGGCAGATCTGGAAATCTGTTTCGACTGGTCAACTTGATGCAGCAAAATCGGTAGAGATGTGGGCTGTCTACACTTGGCTCAACGGAACCGGAAGAACAAGCCAGCAAGCAGCTAAAACCCAACCACACAACCTGTACACGCCCAAACAAACTACATTCAAAAACAAAGCATGAGCCACGGTAGCGCTGCCGCAAAGATGCTACATAATATACAATATAATATTATATATATATATATATATACATACTCAGCTGTTCAGTGACCCTGGAAAAAAAGGCACCCTTTTTTGGGAAGACCATTTTAGTGGGGCAGCCACCAAAAAAAAAGGAAAAAGGGAGCCACTGAACAACTGAGTATATACTTGCCAAACTTGCAAAGAAAAAAACAGCAGGATGCACTCGCATCACCGAGGGTCCTTCCACTGCCGGGAATGGAAGTAAACATTTGCATGCTGGCAGGTCGATGTGTAGCGGCAGGCTCATTCCAATGGGTGCGGCTTTTAGGGTTTATTTTTGGATGGTTTCAAGGGCAAACCAAAAGGGAACTGCTTATTTTAGGGGTATACCTCTCATTTGAGTCTTTGCGGGGACCTCTTGCCGAATTGAGTAGCTCCGCCAGAGATCAACCAGTCTGCAACGGGGTGAAGGAACGGACATATCAGACCTACGGCCAAGTCCTAAGTAGCTCGGGGATTTGGTTCCTTGAAGGATACACCCAAAACCTGCCTTGCCAGATCCTCCAAAGCTGGTAGAAGTAATTGTTTCACTGGCCCAAATGCATCCTTTAACTTGGCGGCAATCGTGCAATTGGGGTTTCCCGGGCGATTTCGGGTGTTTTTGATATTCTTTTGTTGGCGCACACCTCCCAACACATCCGGTTGATCAGTCTGTTTTGGGCGGTTTCTGCCTGAACCCGCCTGAACTCCAAACCCCTTGCGGCGTCCCGACGCCCCGAACGCCGCAAAACCAAACTGGTGCCCTGGAAGACCTGGACGGCCCAAGACGCGCGCGAAGGCGCCCGCACGGGCGAAACACGGATTAGAACACCTTTCTTTAAGGAGAAACCCTTGAAACAGGGGAACACTGTGGTACTATATCTCATGCTTTGAGGCGCCACGGGTGGCTCTAGGCCAGTGTGGATTCCTGGCTTTGTGTTTAGAGCGTAGCCTCTTGGAGGTTGGTTCGAAGGGAAAGCTAAGGGTGACAGCATCACTTTGGGATTCCCCCCCCCCGCCGTTTGTGTGCCATCTTCATGGTCTCCTGAGGAACGCTTCTCCAAAATCCTTAAACCAGGGGTCCACCCGGCAAATGGCCATTGGTCAAGCCCGTACCCCCAGTGAACATCCAAATCCCCACTAAAATAGACTAAACTGGGTCGTGCACCTACCCCGAAATGGTACCATTGGTTTTGACCCACAGCCAAATGGTAGGAGGGAAACAATCGTCTCTGACTTGGAAAGCCCCCAGTCCCACAGTCTGACGGTCTGATGGCGTCCAACTCCGAGGCTCCAAACAGTGTCGCCTGGCCTGGGCGAAAACGAAACGAACGCGAGCGAAGACTCTTCCTGGTTGCTCCTTAAAGGATTTCCTCTGGGAGTTGGAGCAGGCCCGGGTTTGGCCCCTCACAATGTACTGGTAAGGGTTTCTGTAAAAGGAAAAGCAACATATACTGGGGTGGGTTGCTAAAAGTAAATACAGTAACTCCGTGACTCTAATCATCTGCGGGCTCCGTTTGCTCACTCGTTCAAAGGAGGAAAACAAGGGCGAACTTGTGGGTTGCCACACATAGCAAGCTGGATCAAAACTGATTGAAACTATCTTTTGACCCTCCAGACAGGGGGTTCCCCAACAAGATGACATCATGTTTAAACATATCATGGCTCGGGGAGTTTGCTCGGAGATGTCGGGGGGAGGGGGTGTGGGGGTGGGGGGTGGGGAGGGGGGATGATCGCAGAACATGGCACTGCGTCTTGGACCCGCAGCATGACTTCTCATGCTCATGTCAAATGATGCCTGTTTTGCCTTAGGTTTTGTGCTCACACGACCCTATCCTGGTTTCGTGCGTGTCCACTGTCCTGATTCCGGGTGATTTCCTTTTGACTGCGCAGGCCTTGGCCCCTGCCTCCCCCTTCTCTGGCATCACTTCCGATTGTGTTTCATTGCTCTGGGCTTTCGCTGCCTGCGTTTTTGTTGTGGCTGCCTGCTTTGTCGGTGATGGTCTTCATGAAGCATGGCACAAAATAGACGACTGCCACGTTGTCAACTTGCGGTAGACTTGCATATTCACTGTTTTTTGCGGTGTTTCGCGAGCCCCGTCCATTTCAAATGAGCCACGGCAGTGTTTTGTGACGTTTTCAAACCACTGCATGGCAAGTTTCTGGTGAAACAATGTTGTTTTCCCAGTGGTTTTGCACGATGACCATCCTAATGTTCTACGTTTGGCGCCTCGAGTTGCGATAACATAACCCAAGTATGCTCGCGAGCTTGGATGTGGTTTCTTGAACAAGATGCACATTGAATCCGCCGCTGAAGCAAGTTGCCCTGTCTGCTTCCACCAGTCTGTTTAGGGCAACCCCACGTCCAGACCGTCTTTTGACGAGTTGTTTGCAGATTCCACGTGTTAGTACCAGCAAGGGGAGGGTTGCAATGTATCAACCGCAATGTGGTTTTCCACGGGAATGTGAAAGAGGCTTTTACCTCATCATATCTTAGGTACTGCTCCTTCTTCAGTGAGCCTTATTTAACATGCCAACTAATTTAAGAGATACCTCGCTTCCTCAGTGGATGGGCCAAACAAAGCCTAAACTTTGCGTTGGCCACCAACATGATAACATGGCCTTCCCAACAAGTATAAAATTCTATAAACTTCAGAAACTCCAAGAGAAATCTATATGCGGAGCGAGCTTTTCTACATGCGGAGATCCTCAGTGTAAACCCCTGGCGATGGGACTTCAGACCAGTGGCAGGTCCAGGTAGGCCGTCAGCGGAGACGGCACCTGAGTGCCAACCCCAACTGAATTGGATTTTGGTGAACTTCCACTTGCTGATGGTATTTTTTCGGTGAGTTCCCTACAAATGACGGTATTCATGGTCCTTGCTCATACCCACCTCAACAATCCCCAAATGTGAAGAAGCGCCATGATTTTATCAAGTCAGTCCCTCGCTTGTGGAAAGTGAAAGGTTTCCGCGAAGTCTTTAGCTTGGCCATTTAGAGCGTAAGTGCCTTTTCAGTGAGAGATTCCCTAGACCTATTCAACCACCAACTCAATCCAACTGAAATGTAGTGAGGTACTGCTGAACCCCCCAAGAGCAACATTAAGTGAATGCAACAATCGTGAGGGCAGAGATCATGCCTTCAAAATGAAAGGAAGCCAATGTCAAAGAACGCTGTGGCATATAAGTTTGTTCTCAAAGGGAAGTGCACCAACTATCGGATATGCTTCTCCCAAACAGTCCCAACTGCTTTGCCTCCCAAGGGAAAGGTCACAGCGGAGCTCTTAGACCAACGCAGCGTATTCAAAGGGAAGCTGTTGGGTGAAGACCATTGAAACCGTCAGCAGTGACCACTTCAAGGGCCAAACAGTTCGCAGATTGGTTCCATTGCAAAGCAAAGAGCTGTCCTAAGTGGGACGGAACCCAACTTCCGGAGATATCTCCTTTGACCCTCTTGGAGGGGTTCCAGGGAAGTTTTCAGGAGAAACAGCTAGTCTGAAGCTTGAACAATATTCCTTCACAAGGCACTTAAGCCCCTCCATAAACAATCATGAACATGTTAAGTTCAAACATCATAGGTGCAAAAGGGTGTCCTGATCGGGAAACAGCCCGTGGGAATAATTATTTGGCAACAGTGCAGGCCTATCCACATTTCCGCTTCAGAAGCCTCCGCCATCTTTTGAACAAAGGGTTCCAGTTGCCCGCAGTCACTTAATGCCCCAGTTCAACAACGACTCATCATTGTGGTGACTGCCTGCGCTTTGAAAACGCTGGCGGGTTGCTCGCCTCCGGCTCACCTTCAAGTTTGTCAGTCTCCATGGCAATCAGAACAGCCCCTCTCATGACCATACCTGGAATGCAAAGCAACAGGTACCTCCAATGCAACTCACTCAATGCCTGTTGAGTGGCCTGAGAAGATCATGCCTATTATCATTTCAAGCTTTGATTAAACCGGCCGCCTCCTTCCACACACATAAGAAAACAAGAAAGACGTGCGATCTCAAACGCATGTCTCATTTTGCAACAGGGCGCCCTTCACTTCTAAGGCGCTGGCCTCAACATTTGCCAGCCCCCCACACAACGCACTCTTGCAGATCAAAGGAGCATGAGCTTCTTGTCTCATCATTTGGTCATGGTTCAAAACCAATGGTACCATTTTGGGATAGGTGCACCACCCATTTTAATCTATTTTAGTGGGGATTGGGATTCACTGGGGGTACAGGGTTTTGACCCATGGCCATTTACGAATTGATTCTTTTCTGATTTCTGCCCACTGCAGCTTCTAGCCTCGATGGCCCTCTTGCGCCCAAGTGAAGACTGAGGTGCTCCTGCAATCCTATTTTGCCAAATGGGCATGTGCCAAACACGGCTGGTTTCCCATTGGTTTGCCCCAAACAAGGCGGGCCTGATTGGCGAGGCCAATCATCCAAGCCTTTTCCACTAAAATGGATTCCATGCGAGGCTTCAAGTGGGTATGGGTCAAAATTCAACCACCAGGGACCGCAGGTTTTAGTCCATGTTTCCATTTGCCAGGGTTCCATTTTGGGTACATATTTTTGACCAGTCCAGAAACGGAAGTGAGGCGACCCTCAAACACCCTCCACCCTGCTGCCAAAAGCACGCAGGGACCGCCCACATGGCCAAGATCATCCACGCAGTCGCGCATGGATCTGGGCATCAAATGGGCACAAAATGGTCTAAAAGGAACGTTGCATGAGCGTCGTAAAAAATCAACAACGTGTGTTTTGAAGGGGTGCTGTCTGGCACCCGTTGGGGTGATATAAGGCACTGGGCGAAAATATAAACATGTTTCCTGTCCCCACCCTTTCCAGCGAGCGGAAAAATAACAAATCAGCTGGAAATGGACATTTGAGCATTGTTTTTTTTAGAGGTTCAGGGCTTATACACTGCTGGGGAGGCTACGCGGGGGGCTTCGCGGGGCCAGCATTTGTGGAAGGGTTGGCTTCGCGAGGCTTCGCGGCAAGACTGTGGCTTCGCGGAGTGGCTTCGCCGGGCTTCGCGGATGTTTGTTCCACAAACATCTCTCACATTTGCGCCCCCATGTTGTTGAATCAAGTTGAGTCCATGCGAAAGGGTTCGATGAAAGGCGGCAAGAGAGGCATTGAGCTTCAGGACTAGGGGACATGGCTGGGCCTCAAAGGGGCGGAGCATGGCAGTTGGACCGCGGTGGCTTCGCGGAGGCTTCGCGGGGGCTTCGCGGGGGCTTCGCAGAGGCTTTGCGAAAACGTTCCATCGTTTCTAGCAAAACCGAGTCTGAAACGCACAGTGCTCTTCCGGTCGTCTTCCCGTAATCTTCCTGTAATCTTGTCGTAGCCTGCTGACTCTAAACATCAACCTTTGGAATACTACTGCCATGAAAGCGCACAACACACTTGAACCATGAAAGCACGCAGTACGCTCAAACGACGAAGTGGCTTCGCGAAGTGGCTTCGCCTGTGTCAATGTTACCGGGCTACGCGAAGTGGCTTCGCGGGGCTTCGCGGTACACAATGTATCGCACAAGTGCCTTCGCGGAGCTTTTTGGAGTTCCCCACGAAGCTAAAATCCATCATCTGAGAAAAAAACGCTGCTCATTTGGGGTCAAGCCGCGAGCCAACATCTGACCAAGGCAACAACCTGTTCTGTTCAATCTGAAACGGATATCCGACCTAGCAACAAGCAAGCTGATAGGTCCCTGAAACCCTCTACAAGAACCTGGGGGAACCTCTGGAAGTTTGTCAGATCCTAAGCGTCTGATGTGTCTCAAACGCCAACTACAGCTCAACAAAGTGACCATCTCAAATGAATGCTGCATACTGCATTGCTTCCCTTGTCTGGGGTATGCTCAAAAGGTATGTTTTAGCTGCATGCTCATTATTCTTTGACCACACGGCTGGCGAGTTGGTAAGCGTAAAAATCCTACATGGGTGTAACTCTATGCAAGTCAAAATATGCTTGCTTAACCTACTGTCGCTTGGCCACTAACCCAATCTAGGCTTAAACATGTACGGCCTGGATTCTTGAGGCCAAACTTGCCCTCAACCTCAAGGCCAACTCCAAACATCAGTGGAACCATAGTCAGCTTCGTTAGAAGCGTGAATCAGCAAACCCCATTTTAGCCAAGAAACTTAACAGCAAAAATTCACAAACATCGAAGTTGCATGTAACGGTTGACCAAAGGCATCGCTGGTAGATAGTGATATTACAGTGATCAGGTCGAGCATAGAGCAGCAAAGCACATGCGTTCTTGCCAAAGCAAAACAACCATGTTGAAGGGGGACGTGGGAGTCTACGGGGAATCGGTGATCTTGCAAATCGCTTCACAAGACCTTCTCACTTGCTGAGTGGATTTGCCAGAAAGACTCCCAGCCTGTTTGCCAGTAAAATTGTCTTCTTACAGCAATCAAAGTCCAGCAATTCAGGGGCTGACTTATCCCGGCTGTTCCAAGGCGACCCTCCACCATGGGCGCCTGAGAAGCGACCAGCAAGTGGCAGCAAGGAAGCCCATCCCCTGGCGCGACGAACCCATTGTGCCCCTAAAATGCGGTTGGTGTCCCTGTGGTTTCCCTTTTCAACAGACCCACAAAATCGATATCCCACGTACGGATCAACCTCTTGAACCGATGCAGGTCCTTAGATGAAGTCGGAAGGAATGTGTGTGTGTGTGACGGTTCTGGACATCCGGGTGCTCCCTAAAAAACATGGTCCTGTTTTGAAACGGAGGCCCAAAGAAAAGTCACCTTCCCCGCAGACTAGCCAAAAAATATGCTATAGTGTCTTGACCACAAACATGGTCTTCCGAACAGCAGAAAGCTCAGGAACTCACGGAGTGATAAAATCAATTATTCATAGGGGCCGTCAACCCCTCCATCCGAAATCCCCACCAGCATCCGCAGCTGCCAGCGGCCGGCCAAGCCTGCGACGACAAAACAGGGACAGGGATGGATACGCCAACCAGCTGTTCAAACATACTCATGATATGGGCCATAGTCGTGGTACCCTGAATAGGAACCCTTGCAATGATGGTGGTCGAAACTCCTCAGCTGAATTGCAAATCCTTCAACCCTTAGCATAAGCAAATTGACACCAACACACTGCATCCGGGAAATACGTCGGAAGGCTGTGTATATAGCAGAAGCCATACGCACAAGTCCCATCAATCTCTCTCGGTCCCTGACTGGAAATCGCTGCCTTTCCTGGCCCTCGCATCAATCGGAGAGCGATGCGAACACCCGAAGTTGTTCTCCAGGGAATGAGACGTCCAGCAAAGAGAAGCGCCAAATATGACACCTCTGAAATGACCCAAGTGACGAGAAATAAACACCGCCGGACAAAACCTGAGCCCTTCAGCTGCCGGAGTTGACTCGATTTGATGGAAGTCTGGGGCTGCGTTCCCAAGGAACGGTGGTTGAAAACGGTTATCGTTAAAAGTAATAAGTGTTTAGTAAATGTGGTTGGGGACACAGTCCAAGGGATGCACCAACGAAATACATGACTAGCCTTTCCGGGGAAACTGTTGTGAAGCGGACTTTTCAATAGGGGCCATGTGGGCATTGATCCTGGTAGACCCATATGTTCCATAACCGTGTGAGCCATGGTGAAGAAGTCTTGTCTCCCAAAAGGACAAGGAACATGTTCATGGGATAGTTAGTCAGTCCCCCATGTCCCTCCATGGCCCATAGACTTGAACAAACCTCATGGTGCCACTCGCAACGAGTTGACCCCAGCCCAGAATCCAACAGTCCACCAGTCCCCCAACTTCATGAAAAGCATGGGGCTTTTGGCGCATTTGGACAAAACCGGGTGTGTGTGTGTGTGTGTTCTTTCGGGGTTCCCCCGCAAAGGGTTGGCTTAAAGGGAAACAAGAACAACCAGCATGTTTTTGATCGCTCAAATGCCCACATGAACATGCCCATGGCGGTTGCCGTGCCCTTTTCAACTTGCTTGCAACGGCAAAGGGCGTCGATCCCCAATCAAAAGTCAATATATCTCACTTTTTGAGAAGGTTCGCCAAAAAAAAAACTCTCAAGCCACCAGAATGGCCTTCCTGAAGAGGTTCGCCTAAAGTCCAAGCATATCTGACATGAAAGGGCCCTTGTCCATCCCCTAGAATCATTTGCCAATCGTGATTGTATCAGGACATATCGCTGTCAAGACTGCAATTAAACTCTCCCAATGGCTGAACATCCTTTGTGGATCCCTTGGACACGGTCTAAAAACGGGCGCAACGGCACTGACCCCGACCCAACTGGCTTCCCTCTTCCGGGGGCCGTGATCCCTGCCAACCTGGTTCAACCTCCATCAAAAAATGCTTGACCCAATTTGGATGGCAACTCTTTGGTCAACACTAGTCTGGAATTAGAACCCCAGCAAAAAGTATCTTTTTTGCCTGGGTAGTGGAAAAAGAAGGGACCCGAAAAAAAAAAAAAAAAAAAAAAAAAAAAAAAGAAATGGGAGCTAATTAAAGGGAAGAACAATGGTGGTTATATGAACCCCATTGCTGTTTAGCTCGCTCATTGAGCCCTCCGGCAGAGAGCCAGAAGCGCCAGGAGCATGGAGCGGACCACGTCCTCAGCGAAGGGAACGCATGGCCAAAGCAAACCAACTGGATATATCTGAATCATATCTGCGTGTTCCTTCAAAACCACCCAAAAACGGTTGCCCTTCAAAGCACACACACACACAACCGGCTGGAATCTAGCACCTCCTGGCTTACTATAGCCAAATATGGGGACTGTCAAATTTGGTACCCTTCGGTGGACACCATTTACATGGGTGATCCAGTGATGCCTGGTTTGCTTACTATAATTTGATTTGACGGCTTAATGAACATGGCGGGATCAACATTCGGCAATGTCATTCTCCGTGCAAATCTGGATTTGTGCAATTTTGTCCACACAAGACAGAATGACGCTTGAAACAGCAGCTACCCTAAACCTAAAGTCAGTTGACCACGCTACCCCTAAACCAAAATCTCAAACTTCGCTGTATAGCCGTCCTGGAACCTAATTAGTCCCACATACAGTACGCAAGCAACATGGGTTGTACCCAGGTGCCATGCTTGACAATTGGCCAACTTGATAGGCGCATCACCATATTGGCTGGGTTGTTCAAAAAGGGAGGTTTCCTAATCCGTAGCCCGTCGTGGACAAGGGACACCGCCACCATCTGCCCTACGGGTTAAGGACAACCCACAATAGTTGACCAGTCAAAAAACGATCTCGACCGAACCTGGCACGTGGCCTGCTCCACAAAGAAGCCGGCAAAGTCCAAGGGTGGAAAGGCCTGGCGCGAGAAATCTTCGGCACCCGGAGATGCGCCCCGCGTTCGCCCCTGATAGCCATGGGCAAAAACTACAGCGGTCCTTATCATAGTACGAAACCATGACCATAGGCATTTGTTGGAACTGGGAATCGACCACGCCAAGCTGTCTTCTCTACTCATCGCCGTAATTAATGTGATGTTTTCCCAGAACTCGTGCAGGGTTCCAAATGTGCTCAAGCCTAAACGCAACATGCCAATTTAAATCGGCCTGACCTGCGCTGGACAGGATGTTGTCACATTGCCACAAAACGCTCGAACACCACGAGGACACGCGCACACGAAAAGTCACTCACAGCAGGCTTCTCTCCACCGCAGGAGGGTGATTGACCAGTGCCAACATTTCGGCAACATAAGCGCCTAGTGCTAACGTGCGCGAAACACAAACACACAAACTCACACACGTGCACAGAAAAACACACACACACAAAACACACACACACAGACACACACACACACACACACACACACACACACACACACACACACACACACACACACACACACACACACACACACACACACACACGCACACACGCACACACGCACACACGCACACACGCACACACGCACGCACGCACGCACGCACGCACGCACGCACGCATTACAATCTAGCAACTCCAAACCTGCCGGGTGGGGAGCAAACAAGCAAGCAAGCAAGCAAGCACACAAACACAAATGAACAAGCAACACAACAAACAAGCGGAAAGAAAGAGAGAAAGACAGAAAGACAGAAAGACAGAAAGACAGGACATAAAGACATACATTCCATACAGCACACGCGTTACATACATAACATAACATACCATGACATAATAACATACCACAACAGTATATACATGCATGCATGCATACAATACACTACATTACATTGCATTACATTACGCCACATTGTATTGCGTTATATTACATTCTTTACACACATACAAACATCACATACATACACCTCCATTTGCATAAGCCCCCTGGAACAAATATAATACAAATACTTCCAATAGGGATTGCTTCCCTTTAAAACCAACAAGGACACATAATGACCCTAAAACAATTATTCAGCAGATGGGAGTGCATAATGAATTACACACCATACATACACATATACATACACACACAACAACAACACAAGCAACCAATCAAACAAACACACAAGTACGCATTAGTAACCAATCAAACAAACAATACAATACAAACAAACAAACAACACGAACAAACAAACGACCACGCACACAAAGACGCACAAACACAAAACTACTATAACTGCATCTACAACTACAACACACCAAGGACATGCAAGCAAGCAAAGCAACAAAAACGGCAAGGACACGTGCAAACACAAACCCAAACACATTGACAAACACTCATGAGCACACAACAACACAACACAATGCATGACCTGCCGTACACACGACCGTCCACACAAGCAGATCAGCTGCACCAGCAAGGCATCGACAAGTCCCCATTGCGGCGTGCAGGCATGATGCGTGCCTGAGACGCGAGCAGCCAAGTCATAGAAACCAGCGGCAGGAATGTCCACAGGAAATAGGCCATACACGACAAACAAGAATGTTCTGTAGGAAATCCTTGAGCTGGTTCTTCGGCCGAGGAAAAACATTCCGCTAGTAATAATAACGGTCACGGCGACCCTAGGATTGTCCATGGCCAAACAATGTTGGACATGGAAAATGCTGAAGCAGGTGAACTAGTGAATGCCTCTGGGGCAAGGCACTACATACCACAGGATAAGGCATGGTAATCAACAGCCAAATCCAACCAGAGCCTTTGTGCTGCACAAACTGCTCTCGCCATGCGGCCCAAGCGTGCATCTGACACCCTCCCAAACGGTCAAAGATCTAGCGGCTAGTATCTCACACCGCAACGCGGGAGAGGACAGTTATTGACCTGTTCCTTCGAATGTCTCTAAGCCCCGAACGGGAGTCGTTTCTCAACCTGCCTACCGCTTCACTGGACATGAACTTCTTGCTCTAAACGGGTCACAGCCGCTCAGCTTCACACGAGACCTCTGTGCACGGCACTCACACAAGCTCTATCTCAAGCAGATGGGGGTCAAAAGCTCTCATCTGCCCCAAACTGATCTCTTGTGTTTGTGTGCGTTGCTTGGCCACTGCTTGTTGTGAACGTCATAGTCCCCAAGGCAAGTCTATCACATTCCGGTCCCTGGGGCCAGTGAGAATGAATGGGTCCTTGTCAGCCCCCTGGCACTCAACAATGTGAGCTGACCTCTCTTTTGAATATGAGCATGAGTTGCTCTTGCACAGCAACAGCATAGGTATGTGCTAAAAATGCCGGCGACCCCGAAACTGGTGGTGTTCCATTTGTTTAGAAAAGGGTACCAACTCCACAAACCGAGTCACAAATAAATGAATTTATATGTCATGTTCTCTTCTGCTGGCTTCGAAACCGCTTCAGCTCCAGCTCCAATCTGAGTGTGCGACAGCGCTGCGCCTAGGATTCAAATCTGGAAAGACCGGAGGTCAGAAATGGAAAACCGACTCTGCTTTTGGCTTACCATATTGGCGTTTTACCTCCCAAAGAAGGAGGGGAGGTAAAGTTATTCCAAGCTTTCGTTCGATGCACCGCCCTTCGCTTGGATGCTCCAAAGAGTCAATCTGCACACGGGTAAACCTTTGGCCCCTAAAAAAACTACTGGAGACGGTTCACCGACTTTCGTCCGGTTCTGGACATTCTTTGCAGCAGCCCTGGTTGAATTTCGTCCAATGCAGCGCGTAACAGCTTCAGCGTGGAGGAGTGGATCGATCGCGAGCGAGAAACAAACCACTGATCGGATCAGCCGGGCCCGGAACTTCAAGTCGCGAATGAGAATGTGGCAAACTGATAATTGCACTACATAACAAGGACTCATGTAATATTATATATGCATATATGTTTATGATTCTAATAACGGTACTGATGATACTAAATCTAGTGTGAACAACAATTCTAAGTATCATCATAATACTAGCAACAATCACCGGCCCCCCACCCCCACCGTCCACCCCCCGACACAACAAAACAAGTTGTGTTGCTTCTTTCAGTTTCCCTTTTAATCAAACAACCTGAAACGGGCAACCTCAACAACCCACACACACACATTGTGAGCTACCTCACTTCAAACGCAGAATCATCTAATTCACCCCCTTGGATCAATACTCAAACAGTATTTGAGCATGTTCGATCGAAGCCCTCATGTCTGCGTCGTGATATGGTGATGCACACTATCCGGATGCTATTATTGGTTCAAAGGCAACAGGTCTCCCTGAAAACTCTAATTGACTACCCCCAAAACCGGAGAAAGGGTTATGGGTCAGCCCTCCATCGGTGAGACACCTGATCAACCCGTGACACACTTGGCGGCTGTTTTCCTACTCAATGGCCATGACTCAATGACGCAAATACCAAGCAGTTGGGTTGAGCAACGTCAAAGGGAAATCCCACCCAAAGAAAGGAAACAATAGTGTGAATGGAAATGTTTTCCTTCACCTGCCTTGGCCTTTTCCAATGAGCCCTGGCCAGTGCAAAGGCTTAATCAATTTGATACCTTTGAGACAAACACGTCCAAAATCAAAGTGGAGGCGTTCTCTATTTCGGACCGTTTTTGAAAGACACACCACAGTTGGTCCGAACAAGTTGCCACAAGAGTAGGATAGCAACCGGACCCAATCGGAAATTGTCAACCCTAGTAGTTCTTGTTTGTTCTTGTTTCGGGGTAGGCGCAAATCCACACAGCCCGGAAGAAGAGGTGCCTATTCAAGTTCCCAAGCGCGCCTCCGACCAGCTGCACAGACGCGCGTTCAGGCGAGGCTGCACATTCAGCCTCATACGTCCCTCCCTCGCGCCAAAGATTCTACGGGTGGACAGGACGTGTGCGTGTGTGTGTGTGTGTGTGTGTGTCTCAGAATTGAGGGCACTCCACAAATGACACGAATGGTGGTTATCCTTCTGGCTTCCCCACCAACCTGAAAAGAGTACCCAGAAAAAGGCGCACAATGACATGTCTTCAGCTCAGGGGAAAAGGCTGAAGAGGCATCTGAATCTTGCAAAGGCAAGCCAGAGCAGCATAAACGAAAAGAAACCACATTTGTTCACACGGGAATTCAGCATTCATTTAGATGCTTGTGAGGAAGCAACTATGGTTGAGGAAGCATACTATCAGGATCATAATGCTAGCGTATGGGTGCAATGCTGAGATGCGCCGAAATACGAGCTATGTCGTGCTGTCGATCTGTTTCAAGCGGTCAAATGTCTCCACACTTGGGGGGCTGCAATATTAGGGTCTACTAGATCAGTATACACAGTAGTACCTTCTAACCATGACTGATGACGTAGTGTAGTTTCCAACTACGCGCCAATCCTACCTAACTATTTAGGCCCCCGTAGTGACCTGGGACTTCAAGTTCCTAAATGGGACAGTCTTTGTCTCACTTGCGGCGATAACTCAGCAAAGGTCGCCTTGCTTGCTTCCACCAAATTATGGCAAGGGAGCTCTCTTCGCAGGGTAAGGGTAAGGCCACGTTGCCCTTCAAGTCAGCCCACAACTGATGGTGGTTTGCATAACTTATCACTTGGGGCAAGCATGTCTGCAACAACGCCGTTTGAAGCAGTGGAAGCTTGGTCTTTGAATTCCAAAAGCTCACTTTGCAAAGCACATAAATCCCTTCACCAGCAAATTACTGTATGTCCGGCAATCTTGGATTCGACTGGTGAAAGGAATCCCTCGTGTGTCAAACATTGGAAGACTCAAACGGGTGGCCCAATCCTGCCAACCAGTGGGCCACAACAATGAATGAACACTTCCAGACTTTGCATAGACTGTCTGAGATTGGCGGCAAAGCTGAGCTCACAATTACAGTTTCGGGGCCGAATCGGTACCTTGGCTCTCCAAATCAAGCTGGAAGCTCCAAATACATGCAATACTCCCCCAGAAAGTGGCCGCGATCCCGGATGCCCGTCTCAAATCCTTGGAGGATCCCTCAATCATAGCTACAGGTGCAACCGGCTGGTAAACTAACCGCCTCTTTCGGCATTCATGGGTTCCCGTTCACACTCAGGCGGCGACAGAAAAGGCACACTGGGAATCCTGGCGAGAGAAATCAAATGCGAGCAAGTGGTCTCAAAAAGCTCGGCCACCGTACGATTCATAGTCCTAGGTGTCCTTTTGAAAGAAAAGTTGGCACAGGCAAATGATTAGAAACAAACTCAAACCTGTGACGGGACACCAATGTCCGTAGCGGCATAGCATGGAATGCAGGGAATGCTGGCTCCTTTGTGTTGACGGATTCATGATCATAGTTGAACGGGAAGCATGGCAAGCCTGGTCTAATCAAGCTGTGCCCGCCCAAAACAATTCACATGTACTTGCTTGGATAAAACAACATGTTGTGGTTGGCCTTGCTTTGCCACATGATGCCCCTTCGCAACTAACAGCAAACTCCGAGCTGAGAAATACGTCCCATCGAATGAATCCGCATTCATACTGACAAATGGGGAGGGCCCTTTGCTTGAAAGATACCTGCGGTTTTTGTAGCACTAAACTCACAACGACTCCAATCATCTAACATCATCTAACCAGCAAGTTGTCCCTCCCACGATGTACTGCATCTCACACAGAGAGCTGCACAACCCAAACTGATGACAACTGTTCCAGACAGGAATGCCACCATGACGTGTACCGTGCGCGAGCAAACAGACTGTGGGAAAACGAGCACCTTGGCGAGGGCCAATTCTGAGGCGGCATCCTACTTGCTTGAGTTCGAGAGCAAAGTGCCAAGACTCTCACCTGCCACACATTCACAAACAACTTGGCCCTAGTTCGTGGCTAAGGTTGAGCTATGGCAATTGCTTTTAACATATGACTCGACTTTCATAGGCATCACACAAGTGCAGAGACGGAGATCTACGGTCTCCAAACGATTCAACGTCCGGAGCCCCGACTTGTGCAACGGTGTTCAGGAGTACAAGGACCACTTTGTTCCTTTCAGTTGGCAAAAACGGGTCCGGCCCGGGGGGGGGCCAGCACTCACCAGGAGGGCCTGCACGGACGGATTTATTGAATGAGCTGCAGCGTGGTTCTCACGTGTCCACTCGAGAACCCATATGTTGCAAGTTGATCACGCAACACTTTCGAGTTTCGACTCGTGAGGCGCAAGCCTCAAAAGTCGAACCTCCGTGGCTACACGGGTTGCTGGTTCTCAGTGGGACATGTGTCAATGCAGTGAATGCCCTTTCCAACCGAACGTGGAATGCTTGGTACGCCCTGTATGCCCCCATTCATCCATATGCCTTACTGAGAACAAACAGGGCGATGACCCAATCCGAGCCTGCGAAGTGCAAAGCACAGCAACACCCGCGAAGCAACGCCTGCAGCGTACCAGGCCGAGTGCGGCCGGACGTTGGTTGAAGCAAAAGTGCCAGTCTTTTGGGAGGGAGGTTTTAGTCTAAAAGGAAACCACTGTTCCCAAGAGGTAAACTTCGGTCAAAACTTTGGTGGCTGCATAGCGGCTAAAGGGAGAACCCTGCATTTCTTGCATCGCCTGACTGTACAAAAACATCTGTAGAACATGTACAAACCTGTCCTAAACTAAGGGTTCACCAGCTGGTGAGGGCTCCTGCTGCTCCCGTTCCTGTAGTGTGGGTGTGGATCATTTTGTGGACATCACAAATGCATGGCAATGACGTCCATCAAGCAGATCCAAGCGTGTTCAAAGCCATACAATCAAAGCCACACCATCATTCAGGCGCATCCCGGGTCCCACGAGAGAGACACCTGGGGTTTTAGAGCCATGGTCTGGGGGCTTTAGACCAATGCACAGGTTCCTAGCAGGGGACCATGACCATTTTGACCATGGCTCAAAGGGTCCGGCTCGGGGCCTGTACCAACGGGGGTTGCTCCCGAAAGCAGGGTCCTAAGGTGGAAATTGAGGCTTTGCCCTTGCTCTTCAATGTGCATTTTGGCAAGGCTTCGTTGACAATGGACGGCGCCCTCCGGAACATCTTCTAGGGGTCGATTCCTTTTCCATTCTTTTCAGCCATCGTTCTTTTGTGAAAAACCGGATCCATTTCCCCCAGGTTTTGATGGTTTCCTGAAAAGAAGGATCCCTGGAAAGAATGGGGAAGGTACCCCCAGACATCTGCCCTTGCGGGACGGCGGCTTCTTTTTGGTCGTCATCCAAGATTGAGCAAGATGTGGGCCAAACTGTGTGACCGCTCATGCGCCTTAATCCCGTTGCCAGTTTGGAAAACGCCTCTTGGTGCAAGAGCTGCAGTGACAAACAAGGGCCTCAAGGATCTCCGGCAACAGTATACGAACATGGTTCAGACATGCGCCAGCGCAATGCGCGTGAGTTCAAATTTACACGCTTGAATACAGAAGCAGTCGGCCCATGCAGAATATAATGGTATGGAGCCATCAGATCAGCATAATATCCAAAGAAGTTTATCCGCAGCAAAGAACAAGCTAGCAAAATGTCAACAGTTTTCCCGCGGGACCCTGAATAGAACTGGTGACTGGGAATTTGGGCTCAGAAAGTGCCTTCAAGTCGGGGCTACATTGCATTTCCCATTCCAATATTGCGGCATGGGCAGGGCGATTCTCCAATCTTTGGGCTTCCCACTAAGGAAAAGAAAAGGGGCTCTATGAAAGCGCGTTCTCCGTTTTGCATTCTTTAACAAGGAAGTTGATCCAAGTCGAAACCCTACCGGCCGACATGGCAACTCGGAAATTTTTGACATAGAGTGTCAGATCGCCCCTGGCATGAGCATGATTTGCAGACTTCGGGGCGGTGAGAAAACCCCCAAACCTTACTTGATTGGTGGGCTTCTTTTTTTTCACTCATCGGGAAGCTGCCGGGCAGCACGCGAGCACTGCACATAGGAGCCGTCACAGTCTATCGGCTGCTCCTCACTGTCCTTCTGCGTCTTGTTCACCAATCTCCGTGACGACAGCGATGGACAGGTTGGATTAGGCAGGTCACTCGTCTGCGCAAGATGCACAGTTGTCAGCTCGATGATTGTCCTACACCGAACAAAGTCTTCAGCGACTTCTCTTCGGGCTTGCTCAGGCTGTCTAAGCAAACGAAGGCGTTAGCGAGTCTTTGAATCGGCTGGCCTGCGGTGAATGTCGTCAACTTCATGGTCGGAACCATGGTCGCAACCAACCCGCAAAAAGTGTTGCTTGGTCTTGCAAAAAAACAACAGGCTAAAGCCTGCCTTCTCTTCAGTGCTGTAGCCTAGCGCCGTAACAATCCTGAATGAACTACGTTTCATCATAAAACACGTCTAGCATACCCCTTGGCTGCGAATGACAAACTCTCGGCGGTCCCTCTCAAGCGAAGTAGCGGGGCTCCCTATACTTCCCCTTGGCGCATTGCCCCAAAGCAAACACACTTGATTCGTAAAAGCTGCGCCACTTCCCTTTCCACCCTGTCGATTGAGGCCACGTGCGTTCAGAGGAAACCAACAGGCCCTTGAGCAGTCTGGAAGACGAGAAACAGAGATCAACATGTATCGCATCTTCGTGGACGACCTCAACTGTGCAAAAACTCTCTAGAATATCATCACCCCTTGGCAGACGTGATTAAATTGCAAGCCCTAGCAAGTTGACACAACCGAGAAACTTCCTGCGCTTTGGCCACTAGAAAAACGCAATGTGCCCCGCTAGCTCTCCGTAGTGTGCTGCGCTCTTGTGTGAGCACCCCCGACCAACAGCCCGTTTGTTCAAACTCCGCGTCGTTCAAAGTAACAGTTGCAAAAAGATTAACCCTGTACATGTTATGCTGGGTTGTTGAACAATTGGCCCACATCTGGGCTGTGTGCAAACACATATCACATCTTTGGATTATATGTTTTATATTCCGGCAATCCTAGCAAAAAAACACAAACACTTGGAGGAGACCGGGGGTTATACTGTTCCAAAACGTGAGGCAACGGTTGTCTCCACGCGCCCCTTGTAGACTGAATTGGCCACCTGTTGCCATTGGAGAAAGGCTTGCCTGTTGTTGGCTTGATTAATGATCTGAATGGGAAAGCTATCAAACAAAGGCGAACACACTGAACAGATCACGCCCTTTTTCAACACATTTGGCATGCATGTTGATCTGTAGCGGTCAAGACCCGAGCAAAGAAACTATCGCACCAATACTAGATTTGCCGGCGAGGGCATGCCAACATTTTCATCTCCAAGTCTGAAGGGACAGCCAAACCTGTGGTAGGTGACGCGCTTGGGGGAGCCCCGTTCATGAAGTTCCGTTTTCAATCCTCGAGCAACATAGCACAAAAAGCTGGACAAGGGATGCGAGGTTCTGGCCGACAGGTGCTAGTCGTAGCCACTTTCGCCCCAGCCTGACGCGATTGCAGGGCTGCTCTTTAAGACACATTCATGTCTAGGGGTTGATTCCCCATTCTTTTCAACCATCGTTCTTTTCAAAAACCAGCAGTTTCTTTTGGGTGGTTTTTTAGAAAGAAGGATGCCTGGAAAGAATGGAATTGGAAGGTACCCCTAGTTCATTTCTTTGAGTCCCAGTTATGTTGCCACGTTTGGCCAAGTGTTTAGCTCCAAATGTCCACCGTACACGTCCCTTGGCCTCTTGCGACTTCAGGGTCTTCATTGTGCTTCACCGAGCAAGCAAAACAGAAGCGATCAGAACATGTACACGGAAGCATCTCTATGATGTTCGAAGTGATGATTCAGACGGTATGTTACATGAATCTCCGCTAAACAGTAATAATAATAGTAAACACTAAAAGTCACTAAAAACCAGCAGGGAGATTGGGGGGGGGGGGGGGGGGCAGCCCCCCCATGATGTTCGAAAAAGTGATGATTCAGCAAAAAAAATCTAAAAGCCTGCAGGGCGGTGGCGGCAGGCCCACCCTCATGATGCTCGAAGCAGCCGGACATCACTTAAATGGGGATATATGTCCACCAACCCTTTTCACAAGTTCCCTATTGACATTCATAGCCAGGAAGCAACCTTGATACGCTTGTACTTTGCAGGGGCGAAGACTAACGATGTGCAGCTTGAGTATCGCACAATGCGTGGCAGTTTTCTTGCACTTAATCACATGCTGTTAATCATGGACATGATCAGGGATCCTTACCTTATACACCTGAACATTGCCTTGTAAATGGTGGTTTCCCTCTATTTCGGTGGAAAAAAACATGTTTCAAACGGCCAACATGTATCTTTGAAGGAGCCCTGATGATACAGGCCCCTTTCGTTCCGTTGACATGGGTGATGTGGAAACATCTTGGACGGTCTCCAGCGCCATTCATACCAAATCAAAGGACCACAAACACCACCTGCCCCTTTAATCCGCAAGTCTCATTGCTCCTTTTATGAGAAGCTTTCGATGGATGCAAGTGAGTAATATGAAGACCCATTTCTGAGGAGATTGCTTGCAACGCTACAAGCCATGCATCAACTGGAGTCAAGGCTGCTGCATGAGGCTCAGTGAAAGAGCCTCCCCCATGATGTTCGAAGAAGTGATGATCAGCGGGTGCGTTGCAGGAGAGCAACTGGGAAAGCACAGGATGCGAAAAGCCGAAGCCCAAAAAGCCACCAAAAGCCGAAGCCAACAAACCACCTGCCAGAGAGGAACTGGGAATGCAAAGGATGCGGCTGCCAAGCCAAGAAGCCGAGAAGGCAAGAAGCCGAGAAGCCAAGAAGCCGAGAAGCCAAGAAGCCAAGAAGCCAAAAAGCCAGAAAGCCAAGAAATCCAAGAAGTCAAGAAGCCCCAAAAACAGAGAAAAATGAAAAATCGATCAGAGAGCAACATCCTGACAAATAAATACCCTCCTTGTTGAGCAGTACCAACATCGAAGGAAAACCAAAAGGAAAGCAACCAAGCTTAAGGAATGTTTGCTGTGAGAATAGGAACAAATCCACGCATTGGCAAGTGTCTTCCAGTATTGGGGTTTTATGCCCACATTTTGAGACTCGTACCGCACTTCTTCCGTTGCCTCCCGGCCATGGTGCGCCAGTTCCAGGATGGCGGCCTGCCGGCAAAGTTGCGAATCGGCGCAACCCGAGATTGTCCGCCCGACTCGGAAATCACATTTCAGATGGATAGAAATTCAGCCAACCCAACATAAAATGATTTGGCTGTGGGCCAAAACCCATGGTACCATTTTGGGGTAGGTCACCACCCATTTTAGAACCTATGTTAGTGGGGATTGGGCACTGGGGGTACGATTTGGCTTTTGACCCATGGCCATTTCGACCCGAACTGCGGCCTGAGGCAAGGCCAACGAAGCTGTTCGACACCAAACCTGGGGCTCCCCACCCGCCGCGGAGCAGGAGAGATGCCTGGCGGGCGCGGGTTTTCTCGCGGCAACAGGGGCACTTTCAAAAGCGGCGCTCGTCTTCTTTGGGCACCGCTATTTCAGGGGCTCCTCATATATGGAGACAAACCCAATCGATGACATCAAGGGAGCACTGCAAGTCGTCGCCCTGGACGAGGGAAAATGTGGAGATTGCGGATCACTTGGATGTGTTGGTTCTAGGGTGGGTGGGGGTTGAGGTGTGTTGATCAACAGAACTCTGAGAAACCATCTCCAGGGAATTCTCCTGAAAGTTAGCCCACACAGCTGGTTTGTGTGGGTGTTTGGATAATTTCCTCGAGATGGTTTCGCAATCTTTCTCAGAACCAAGCTCAAAATCCCATCTGATCGAGCACTGAAGCTGAGAATGGCGTAGATCCGGTTTCCTCCTAGAGGCAGGCGTAGCTTTTTATCTCTTGTGTGTCTCAATGGGGCAGCCTTGTTGGGGCTCTTAAACCAATGGAACAAACAAAACAAAAAAGGCAACCATCGAGCCCAAATAAGCCAATGGTACTCAGTCTACCCCCCCCCAGCTCACAAATCAAAGGCAAACCCAAATCTATGTTGGGGATTGGTCCCCGCTCATCTTCATTTGCCGAGGTTCTGATTGCAGCACTGGACTGTAACTCTTGGGTGACTTCCCACAGGCCTTTGGGCATTGGACTGTCCAAGCGGTCCTCCACTTGGTTGACGTTGAAAGGGGAGCAAAATTTGTTTTATTTTTTAGCAGTTAAGTGGGGATTTCAACCACTAAACCACAAGAAGCAAAAATGTAAAATGTTTCCCAACAACAACCATGTCCAGGGTCTTCCAACCATTAAATCGCATCCCGGCGGAAGAATCTAATCCGTTGGGTTGACTCGATCCGGGGGTCGACTTCGCGAAGTCTCCCCAGTCGCCTCACCCTCTGCCCGGGAAAAGAAAAGAAGACAAACTAACCGCACCGAGAGGGCCGTGAAGAGGGGGTCGTGAAGGATGCCAAAGCCGAAGGTGACGAAGTGCAACAAACCTCCAATGGTCACAGAGAGCTTCGGATACGTGTCGCACGACCCGCTTTGGGACATGAGAAAACCAAATGGGCCAGAGTGCTATGGAGAAGATGCATTGAAGGCCGAAGAAGCAACATGCCAGAAGGGAAGTGAGGTGACTAATCTTTGGATATCTTTGGTCAAGCAAATCTGGTAGTATGGGCTTGACGCAGCAACATCGGACAGTGCAGCGAATTGGCGGGTCATCTTCAAGCACCTACGGCTTTCCATGTTAGCAAAACACCCCCCCAGTGTGCTTGGTCACCTGATCACAGCCCCCCGGCATCCGATCTGGAAAAAAATGGCAGACAGAAAAAAACAAATCACGGGGCTGAAAGTTCGTATTTTGAAAGGATACGTCTCATTTGCATGTGCCATGTTTGCATCAATCTCCTTAATGGCTGATATGCCACCAGCGTTCCGTTCTAGGCAGGCTGCCAAGGCTTGGGCTTGTGTGAATGATTATTGCATGTCGCCTTGAGGTTCCAATTGAGTTGGACAGGTGGAGGTCTCGACAATGGAATGGCGCAAAGTATCAACACGTGGCACCCATTTTGATCGCTCCCTCCACCCAATACCTGCTGTATGCTCAGCTGTCAAGCACAAGTTTACACGGCATCTGCATACTCAATCTGAACTTCTTTAGCATGGTGGGAGGCCGAGGGGGTGTTGGGCGAGGGGGTGTTAGCACAGTGACAGTCAACTGGTACTTTATACCTCCGAAGCCGATGTGCCCCGGCATTCCAAACACGCGAACTCTAAACTAGCACTCCGCGAGGTGTGCCTAGAATGTATGTATATATATATATATATATATATACATGTGTATATATACATATACACATGTCATTAAATGGACTAAAATACAGGAATTGCAAGCGGTACAAGACGCTACCTCCGAATTCTCGACATGTTGAGTTTTAGTACTGTGGGCTGCTTAGGTTTGTAGGCAGAAGGTAGTCTGACGTGTGAGTCTGCACAAGTCACCAGCTCAAAGAGAGCCCAAACACATTGCATGCAACTCCCAATTCAGGGGCATCTTAAAATCGGGAAACCCTTTCCTGAACTGTTCAACATGAAAGGTTGGCCCATCCGAGTCCATCCTTGCACAACCACTCAGAGCACTTTCGTAGGTACGCTGTTGGAGGGCACGGACACCATCCATTGGACGGACGTCCACTTGACGCATGCAGCTGCAACCCCTGCCTGCGGGCAGGCCGGGCGCTGCATACACCGGAAAGGAGGCGAAGTGATATACCTCGCCCGGGCTTCCCCGTGCTTGCCAGGCTTGGGCAATTTCTGGGAGAAGGACCCCAAAGCATGGGGAATGTACAGCCTGGACTATAGGGAAGTCATGGACAATGGGTCGATGTCCTTCTTCAAGCAAACCACATGGGCAAGCCGTGTGTGCTGCGCTTCGCTGCTTGAAGCATCTTGAAGCACGTTTCCAATCGGGAAAACCAAGCGGGAGCTGCGTGTTGATGTGATGCAGACATCGCTGGATTAACTCGGAAGGACCTTCTTTCCCTTGAAGCCACCACGCAATAGACAAATTCCCCTTGATACCGCATCGTGTCGCTTCACTGCGCCAGGATGCGAAGGAAGTCCGGATGTATCATGTGCATGGGGACTTCAGTCCACCAATTTGGTGTTTCAAGAGGCTGATCCCATAGTTGAGAGCCGTATCAAGAGCCCTCCTCATTTTTGCCTCCCGGTGCGATGACGCTAGGCCGTTTGGCGCACAGCGAGGCAGGCGGTCGCGAGCAGCCGCAGCAGGCAAGGCCACAACTGCGCAACGTGAGCTGTGGATGGACGAAATCCCCTCTCCACCCAGGAAACCATGAATCAAATCCCGGTTTGCTGGTATTTACGGGGAATCGCATTGTTCCAGGGTTTCTTAGGTGGTGCAGGATTTCGTCCATCCAGTAGGATTGGTTAAGCAGCTTGAGAAAGGTTTGGGACGTTGGGGCGTCCGCAGCTCGGGCCCCGAGCAACCGTCAAGACCGTCGCAGGTCTCCATTGGCCAACTTGAGCTAGGGGGCCGCAAAGAAACGGGTCCCGATCTTTCGTCCATCCCCTCATGCTGACCCCGGATTCATCGGCTATGGGATGCTTCTTCGAAAGCGAACCCCACGAAAAGGGACCGCCGTCCTATTCAACGCTTGGTCATCCGGATTTCTCCCGTCCGAAAAAAACGGAACGCTCCGTGAGGGCGTGAGGCGCTCATGTCTCTCATCCCGCTCCTGCAGATCCTGTGGGTCTCCTGGCACGGTTCGGCTTACGCAGGGCAGCTTCCCCACTGCGCTGCAAGAGGAAGGTGTGTTCACAAACAGTCGAACCCACCCACCCAAGGCAACTGAGGGATACCTGAAACCTCTGACTCGGAAAAACCAAGGGCCCAATTGAAGAAAAAAAAAGTTCAGGCACTAGAGGGTCGTTCCATTCTTGCAACCAGAACGGCGGACTTTTGGATGTTGGGAAGGCGCGGTGGTGTTCGGATGAGCTAAGGACCATGCTGGCTTCTCAATCAAGTCATGAGATCGGTTGAGCATAAGGCAAGCCATCTACATTCTAGTGCGGGGAAAAGTGCCAACATGTATTGCGCAACACCTAGTGCAATGTACACTTGCCAATGGTTGGCCAATCTCATGCCCGCATCAAGGCCACTACGGTCCAAGTTGACGAACGTCTACCCCAAACTCCGCACATGAAACGTCAACCTGTGGGAAAACATGAAAGGGCAGCTTAGCCACAAGACCTCCCGTGGAGTGAGGAAGCTGGCAGATCTGTGCACTCCGGAGAGGGTAATCACGGACTTGCCGACCCGAGCTGTCAAAGGGTGACGGTGAAGCTTCATTCAAAAAAGACTCGCGGCACTTCGGTCTTGACCTACTATACCAAATACGGTATGCATGTCTGTCAAAACAGGGGGACCCCAACATGGTGGTTTTTCTGTTGATTTCAATTTAAGCCTCCCAAAAACCGGTCCAGCAAAAAACCAAATAAGGGTATATTCCACTCAGCTCAAGGCCACGCCAGGTGTCAGCCAGAGACCGGCCTTTCTGTCCTCGCCAAAGCGCCAACACCACCCTCGGCTGTGCATGGCGTTGTGCAGGGGACAACTCAAGTTGGGCATTCGGTTGAGGATTGCAGGATGTCACATGTGAATATGTCTCAAAAAGGCGGGGCGTGCCCCAAAAGCCAACAGAAGCTGGTGAAACGGTTTGGGCCTTCCTTAAGCTGACACAGACAAGGCGTGAAACGCAAATGACCCTTTTAAGGGGAATGTAAGACAGAAGTAAGAGGCCTTTGTGGATGTGGAGCCTCCTCCTATGATTACTTACTATGAATTTGGGGATGGAGATTGAAGAATTGCGCAAGTGGCGGGGCCAAGGCTGGGGGACTCCGTACAAGATAATTCGAATGGTATTGTAGTGGAGAGCAGTGAGTTCTCTGTTGGCCGGAAACAAGCTCCATACACGCCCTTGCCATCTCTGGTTTTGCAGTTGCCCCAGGACCTACTGTTCTAGTGAAAGTGCAGTCTTCATCAAACGAAAGCCAATGCTACAGGCAAAACTCTGCTGCTAGCAAGTGGCGATGGACAAAGCGCAAACCTTGTGGCTGGTCCCTGAATTACACTCACCAAGCATAGGCTGAAAGAAACAGGACATCTCACATCTTCAGAAATTGTGTTGACGTCACATTTGAATTCGCTGAATCGTCTAACTCTTTGGACCGGAATTTGCTGGGAAACGCCAATCAGCATTGACCTTTGGTTCTGCATGGGTTACCTGGACTCACTGCATTAACCCAAATAGCAGGCAAAGCAGCCATTCTGAGTGCATGGACCGGGCAATCTGATGCAGGTAGTCTGAAAACTCACGCATCCCAATGCTGTAAGGAGCACGCATAGGCACGCGTGTGGAGCCTCCCGAAAAACTCTTCAGTCACTGCCCGCGATTTCAAGCCGAAGCCTTGGCCTTGAAGCAATCGAAGCTGTCAACCAGCTCAGCTCCCATATGACACTCAGGGGCCAATCCTTGCCGCTTTGAATGTCTTCATAGAACTTCATACAAATACATGCAGCTCTTTCTTGGTCGTTCACGAGACTGGCGCGGAGACACAGATGCAGGGTCAGATGCTCATATATACATAATTCATATATAATATACACAACTATACGTATGCGCACAAATGCAACCCACACCAAACATGCTACAGCGTGAGTCAACGCGGTGGTTCCGGCCAGCCGCTTAAAACAGACTTACAAGTAGCTGGTTGTGTGGCCTCCCGCTCAAGTCATTCACTCACACTAGTCAATAGATACTGTTAAAGTCAAACGGCTTCTCAGGCAATGCATAAGTCTGGGCAAATGAGAAGTATCAAAAGAACCTTCACTATGACGAGGTATGGCTTTTGGACGGTTTTGGAGGTATGGATGCTTGTATACCACCGTTAGAAGCTCATCACACAAGCTGCATAGCTCCAAAGCCCATACCTGAAGTTGATAAGACGACTCAGATCAAGCAGGCAGATCTTCCAAAGAGAACGCCTTCCAAGGAGAAAATTTGAAAGGCTAAGCAGATCATTGGACTGCATCTCTCACCTCTCAAAATGATGTCCCAAGTGTTCAGGGAGCACCAAAGAAGAGGAGCGGAAACACCTGAGGCCCTGGCAAAGGAAGCAAAGGCAGAAAGCCCTGACAAGCAGTCAGCACAAACGCCGGCCCAGTTTTGGAGCAGATCTCGAGATCAAAAAAATCAAAACCTGGACCCCACGCACCTTTGGGCTCCGTGTCGCTTAAAGGCTCCCAGCACCTAAAGGCCAAAGGCCGCAATTTTCAAAAAAACAAGTAGGGTTTGTAAAGGCGCTCGTGGAACCTTTGTGCAGGGGGGGACGGGGCGTTCTAGTGTCTCACCGGCAGTGGCTTCTTGCTTATTCGGCAAGCAGGCCTGGCTCTTGAAAGCTGAGTGCCTGAGGCAGGAGATGGATCAAAACACAGGACGCATCAGGTTTTTTCCCCCCCCCGTTTCGGGAAACTTCACCACGGCCGGATCTAGAGGCACCTGTGGCATCTTGGCAAAGAGTAGTTGCGCAAAGCTCGGCCACAGTCGAGCTGTCATAACGCCCGCACAACATGCTTCGATCACCTCAAAGAGGGAAAACTGTACTGCTCGTTTGCTTCCAGCTCGGATGTCTTCACCCAGTCCCTCAATGCGGCAAACGGAAGTCGGTCCCACTTACATGAAGCGGTGGCACGCTGATACGCAGCACGCAGGAGCCCTCAAACCTTAATCCAAAGTTTGGTAAACTTCGGAGTCTGCCACACACACACACAAAGCAGCAATTGCTGCTGGCCGTTCAGATGCTTGCAACATCAAAGAACAGCTGTCCAGCGATGTTAGACGGACCCGACCCCGCCTGCAATTCCTGGGTCCACCTGGCACCACTCAAACACAAGCTCAAATTAACATGGGGGATACAGGTGGGCGTGTGCTGTTTTGAGTCATGAGTAGTTCCCTTTTGAAGTGTTCACACATACTAATATATCCAGGCATGCACAATCTGGACAACAGACATCAAGATCTTGTGGCGGGGCACAGCTTTGCTATGGTTGTCCTCAAAAGATCCCTGCAACCGCAGGCAGCCAGCATGGAATCGGCAACATTCAGCCCACACACATTGAACACAGCGTGGCATGTGCACCGGCTGCTGCTAGGCCCCATGCTGCCCATGCTGCTTGAAATGCCTACCAGGAACTCATGATGTTATAATGCCATTCTAAGTCGTTGGTAACGTCCTTCAACCGCTTGGTACAAGCATGCAGGTTGGCGTCACTTGTTTTCCTTTCTTCTCGCTGTCATCCCGCCTTGACAGTCCGGTTGTGGCCTCATTATTCTTCTATGCTGCCATGTGTGTATACATATATGCATGCATTATATATATGTGCATGGTACGAGTATAGCTGATCAAACTTCAAGGGAAAACGACCTCCTGCCGGAGGGTGCGTCAGCCATGGAGTGACTATATGAGTAGCACCAGGGGGTTCTCACGCGCAACGCTGCTCCAAGAACACACATGATCGTATTCCGCTGCTTCTCGTTTTACCATGGATTCAGTCCACCTGTTCTCCTTATCGCCTCACTGAAACGCAATAGCGCGGAGGCGATTGTACGCATTGCACATAAAATATTGCCTTCTGAATGGTTTCAAACATGAGTCGGGGATGAATTTAACATGGGTGCATGTATGGCTGGATGCATAGCACTTGTTGCAATTCAACAACTCCCGCATGCATGCGTAGTCTAGCTTGTTCATGCTAGTCACCCCGTGCACCAGCGTTGTGCGTTGTTGTTGCAACTCAACAGCGCCGTCTTACCATGTAATCATACCTACCTCCCAACGTTCAACTTTTATCAGGTGAATTGGATCGACTTGCACACAAACAAGCACTGTCCTCTGTGAAAAGACAGGTTGAATGGGGAAACATGGAATGTCGCCCTCTTCATATTGGTCTGTTTGTCCCAAACTCCGCGCTGGCTGCCGCGCTATGACACGATCGTCTATAGTAAATCATTGCCCCGAAAAAACAACACCACGAAATAATGTTCGCCAACGCAAGATTGATATGCAAGTCAGGAGCAGTCCCGACACACCTAGCCCCAAATGGCCCCATGGCTCTCCGAGTGCAAATGTTGTCATCCAGCGGATGAACTAGTCGAACAGCACAAATCCCTCGACTTGTATTTCCACCAACATGATGCCCAGGTCTATGGATAACCAGGACTATAACCCCCTAGAACCTGATACTTAGAGCGCAGGCCTTAGTCTGTTAACCAGGCAGAAAAGAACCGAATATGGCGATTCCTGCCAATGTCTGGTTGCTCCCATTCGGAACGATCGTGGCCCAAATCTGGGTTACACAACAGCTTGTAGTTCGTACTTAAGCTATCCCAACTCCTGCACCGGTTGGGATGGGCAAAAACCCAAGTGGAAAACCCACTCCTCCAACTGGCGCAAAGATTTTTGTTTTGGCCATCCACAATATGCAACATGATGGCTCAACGCCCAGCAATTGCCTGCGGATTTCAAGCATGTTTTACAATCCACTCACGTTGACCCAACTCGGGGCATCGCTGTTGACCCAACATGCTTTCCTTGGGGGCGACAGCCAATGCAGACACACATGCAGACAGACGCACGCTCACGCCGTGCGTGCGTGCCGGAAACTCTATGCACACACCGTCCTTGCGCACGCTGTTCATGCGCAGGCCGCTTTTCTCACGCAAACAGACTGATCAGACAGACGGACATACACCTGAGCGCAATGACATTTAAGCTGACTGTGGCACTTGGGCATTTTGCCTCGCAGGTCTGTTGTGTGTGTGCAGGTTGCCTTGTCAGAGCCACCACAACCCAACGGTTGTTATGGTCAACTTGCAGTGGCTTTCAACCCACCAGAACCCAGCTGTTCTTGCGTCTGCTTGCATTGGCTTGAGTCGATAGGCATGTTCAACAGAAGAACAAGAATCTCAGACAGGCGTAGTCTTCAACTTGTGTAGACAGAAGAGCCGCTCAAACATGCAAGAACGGCAGCCCAAAAAAACCAAAGCTGCGCGCGACGTGTGGCAGCAAGTGTGCTGCGCTCCATTGGGAAAGGCAGAAAATAAGACAACTGGCGTGTTGCTATGTGCTGTTCCCAGGCATGCTTCAGCTGCTGCATGCATCCTGCCAGCTTGCCCCAGTGGATGTATCTTGGTCCCAAGGTCGTTTATAATTCGAACAACTCCACAGGAGCAGTAAATTTCTGCTCACATAGACAGAATTAGTAAGAATCCACCTGAAATATGCTGGTTATCCACAGTTGTCGCGCAGCTGCTTCACTGCAAGGACATGCTTCCGAGCAATCTGTAACAGAATTATGTATGCAAAACAGAGTTTCACTAACGGAAAATCCTGACAACCGAAACTGCCACGCCTGCCGTTCAAATCAACGGGCAATTGCTGGGCGTAAAGCCAACATGATGTTGGAGGAGACAGACTCACTTCCCGACTGGATTGGCCAACAAAGGTCGGAACTTTTCATTTGCCACTGCAATGGTCTTCCCAAAAGTTTAAAGTCAGAAACTCAGGAAGTGAGCAGAGCTTCGGACAAATTTGGGCCCGCGCTCATGTAGCTCCAGCCGGCACCTGGGATGCGCGGCAAGAAAATGTGAGCACCGTGATGCGGATGATGACCAAGCCCTAGACTGCCCTGTGGCTCCCCTTGGCCATATGTGATGTGTCTACATATATATATATATATATATGTATACACAACTACACATAGAACAATATGTCCTGTGTGCTTCAATGTTTCCTGAATGGGGGCCCCTCAAATAGGTATGCCGAAGGGCATTCGTCTTTGGGACTCTTGGTGCAACAGAAGGATCTCGTGGGCATCCACGGGTTCAGCCTCGTCCTGTTGGGGCAAAAAAGGTTGACATACCTCCAGCAAGCAACTGCACTAATCGAATGGTCAACCATTTCTGTTGCTTCCCCAATCAGGTGCCTTTCAGAGGACAGCATGGGACCATGGAATGCAGTCAAGAAGGATTGTTGTTGCGTCGCAGCCTACTCGTGGATGTTCAACTTGACTCTGGAACAAAGCCCCCGATCCTTCAAGGTGCTTTACAGCAGACGGACCGAAGCAGTGTTAAACAAACGTTGATCTTCATGTCGCGTCCTCAGCTTGCAGCTTTACTTGTGCGGATATGGGTTCCTTTGAACAATGGGGCACCCGAAAATTGTGCATTTTATGGCATGGTGAAAGGCAACACTTGTCCCCTTGGGCGACTTTTGCTTTTCGAGGTGTTCATTGGTTCTCATCCTCCAGATACCCAACAACCTCTGGCTTGCCTTTCCCCAACGGAAAATACAAGCAAACACCACGCGTGATGAAAACAAGACAACTCGAATGTTTTCCCCCCAAAAAAGAGAGAGAGAGAGCAAACATCAGCACGTAAAGCGCGTTGAAACGAGTCGCCGAGTCGCGGCTTCAAAGACTAAGGCCGAAGAAGCGAAGAAGCGAGTTGAGCCATGTGCTAGATGAATGTCTTCATTTCCTGCAGCTCATGGAGCTAAAAATAAGTTGAAACTCGGTGCCAGGCACTGAAACAGTGCCAGTTGCAGCCGCAATTTTTGTCCCTGGTGAAAAGTACGCGGCTGAAGATACGCATGTGTTACGTATAATGCGGTTCTCCTATGGCTAAATCCACCCCTGTTCATAAATACGGTTTGGCAACCCAAATCCAAAAGTCCCATCGCCCCCTTTACTTTTAATTGACCCAATACTAAACCATTGCACAACTTCTGACCCGCCCGGTACTTCTGCACTTCCCTCCTTTTAAGTGTCACGTCAAAATATACTTTGCAATTTTATTTTTGCCTTGTTCATTTGATCCTGAAAAATCCAAGCAAGTGCCTGGAGCAATCTCAATGTTCACGGTTTTTGCGCCCGGCAAAGGGGGAAAACTGGAGTGTCCTGGGACTTTTGGGACCCTAGCAAAGAGTATGGTTTCACCTGCAGTCCTTTTTCAGGGGTTGCCTCAAAACAAAGCCGCGCCCATCTCCTCTCAAACACAACAACCGAAGTGGAAAACCCCAGCGGGCTGTAGAAGCCTTTCAATTATGAACCGATGAATCCGAACAACCATAAACACATCCTCACGAGGCGCATGTCGATTTTGAAAGTCGCTGTGCCCGGCAAGGGAAAGTGAATAGCTCTTGTCCAGTGTGGGGCTCATTGGTTGGTTGGCTGAATTCTTGCAAAGCCCCGCCCACTCGCTGTGGATGGGTTAAAACAAGTCGAAACTTTGGGCTTGCCATTATGGTCTAAACCCAAAAGAAACTAAGGTTCAGGACACCAAACATCCAGGGGTACCTCCCCCATTCTTTCCAACAATCCTTCTTTCTAGAAAACCTCCAGAAACCCCGGGAAAACAGCTGATTTTCGAAAAGAAGGCTGGTTAAACAAATGGGCAAACAACTGATAGAAAACAGCTCTTTGCTCAATTCGAGGAGAACCCGAAAACGCACTCTGGTTTCCTCCTGGCCGGGAACTCGCATCGATCGATCGCTCGCCGCGCGCCAAGGCGCCAATCCGAGCCGCTGGAGGAGGACGAGAGGCGCCGCAGGAACGGTTTCGCGATTTGCAGATCCACCTCCTTGCCTTCACCTGGCGAAATCATCTCGCATGGGCGTGCGTTGTTGAGGGTACTTTTTTGGGCTGGTTGAAAAGTGCACAGCGGAAACCGACAAGGAAAGCCACCATTTTGGGGCTCCGGGCATTTTAGCGCGTACCCGCATGGAGCTCCGAAAGGTGGGTTCATGATGCCTCAAACGACAAATGTATGTGCACCTGGTCGACATCCAAATGGTACTTGGTGGGAGGTTGCGTGTTCAATGCAGAAAGTAGCTCGGTGAAATCGACCCAAGGTATGCCACAAAACACTTGCTGGTGACCATTGCAGTTTGGGCATATGCACTCTTTACCTGATAAATAAAAGAACAGAACGGCACAGGGATGTACAGGGCCAACGTAGCTGGCAATAGATGCCAAACGTCCCATGTAGGTAATAAGAGGAGGCAACAAAACGCAAATGCGGAACTGTGCCATCTACTTTCACCAAGGTGTAACAGCTTCCGTCCAATAATTGGTGGTTTGGATTGGTGGTTTGGGGATTTGAACCTCTGGCTTTTGTAGAGGGTTAATGGGAACCTCTCCTCAACTTCCAAAAGCCAATCCAAACCACCAGCTAGAGGGAGGCTGGCTGTACATGATGGGAGCTCAGTGTTTCCATGCAAAAAGCGGGCTGCATTCCGATCCAAACACAACTGCAGGGTGAAATATAAGGGGCTCAACCACTACACCAATTGTTGCCCTATGATCTGTTCATAGTTTGCGGAGCACCCCACAACCCCATTCTAAATAGTTGGGCCCGAGTAATCACCCCAGTCAAAGGCAAGCGATTAAACGGGAAATGCACTATGACATACGATGACTGATTTAAAACACCCAATCAAGGCTCAGAAAAATAACATGGAAGAAATCAACGTGCAGGCAACGCGCCGGATCGGCATTGCGCCGGCACGCAGAAGCCGAACACCTCACGTTCGCACCGCTAAGGCAAGGGCAAGGGTAACAACATACCACTGGGAGGTGACCCAACCATGGATTTCCTTGAGAGTGGGCTAAAATTACACAGAATAAACTAAATTTAAAATACGTACTCCAGGGGCATGTTGTCATTGCTCTGAACGCAAAAGTCTGTGTTAAATTTCAAAAGATAGTCTTGAATGGCTTCAATTGTGCTTCCCTTCGAAAAGAATCGCAAAAAAGCCTTTGGTTTGGTCCCCATGTCCCCACGTGTGGTGTGAGTGTGTGTGTGTGTGCCGTGAGGTGCGCGCGTGTGTGTGTGTGTGTGTGGTGCGTGGTGTGTGTGTGTGTGTGGCGTGTGGTGCGTGTCTGTTGCTTTGTCTGTGCGTCTGTGTGTGTGTGTGTGCCCCTCTCTGTGCGCATGTGCCCGCGTGCCCGTGTGTGCGTGCGCGGCTGTGTGTGTGTGTGTGTTTCTGTTGCTTCGTCTGTGCGTCTGTGTGTGTGTGTGTCTGTGTGTCTGTGTGTCTGTATGTCTGTGTGTCTGTGTGTCTGTGTGTGTGTGTCTGTGTGTGTGCGTGCATGCATGCGTGCATGCGTGCGTGCGTGCGGGTGTCTGTGTCTGTGGGTGCGTGTGTTTGTGTGTTTGTATGTTTGCATGCTTGTGTGCGTGTGTATGGTTGTGTTTGTGTACCTGCGTCTGCCTTTGCTGGTGCTTTTGTGTTTTGGTGTATTTATGTATTTTGTGCGTGCGCATGCGTGGCTGCGGTATTTTGTTTTATACACTCACCATATATTGGGCGTCAGATGCTGGTTCTCAAGAGAGTGTCGAAAAAACTGTTTACACAATTTAAGGTTGGGATCCAAATGTGCACCGAGCATAGCCCAGAGCCTATATCCGCCGACCCCTTCTCCTCAAAGGGGGAGGTGCACGGGAAGCGCGATCGCAAGAATCGGCATCGTCCCTGCCAGAGATGCTGTGGGTGCGTAGTGATAATTCGCATCATCACTGTTAGAGATGCTGGGAATATCATGCGTAATTGCTTGCGGGTGATGCTGGGGATGCGTAGTGATGAGTATGATCATCATCCCTGCTTGAGATGTTGGGGATGCGTAGTGCTCATGATCGTCGTTATCATCATCTCTGCTGCAGATGCTAGGGATGCGTAGTGATGGTTATCATCAAGGCGATCACAAGCATCATCCTCATGATCGTCATGACTTGTCTTTCTTAAGTCTTTTCTTTATACATTTCAAGTGTCCCGTTAGACCCGGCTTGACATGCAAGCGATGCGTAGTCAGGAATATAGAACTTTCTGGGGCGCAAACAAAATCACTAGCAGCTGCAAGTGGTTCCAACACAGTGGGCCAAACATTGGAGGCCAAACATCATGGAGCTTTGTGGTGATGGGCCCATTGAGGCATAACAGCAGAACCCTTCATGCGAGCACCGTATCTGACCTTTAATTAGGACGCCCTTGAATGCGCTAAGAAATCCACGTATGTGCTAGCCTCGGCATCATGCATCCCCACAAGTCATTGCCATCTGCACCGGACATTGGGCATCACTTTCGTCAAATCGGAAGCATGTCAATGTGGACCCTGCAAAAGGAGACCAATCAATATGCTTCTTAGGTTGGAATGGCTATGAGTTTCAATAGGGAAACATCTCACAAGTGGTTGGCGGACACGAATCCACACCAGAAGGATGTCCACCAAAGGGTCCCCAAATAAAGCTTGCACCCATACCATCTTTCAGGAGTGTATAAGTAAAGCAATGGCTGACTCGATTTCTCAGAGGGGATGAGGGCGCTGACGTAGCGATTGATGACAGCCATACCGATGCGCATAGTGCTGATGAGTCCTACTGGTCCTAATGCGTCCGCGCATGTCTCTTTTCCGCTTGGCAAGACAAACAACTTGCTTGGTGGGATTCAGGACAGGATCAAAATAAGACCTGGAATGTAGCCCAAGCCAAGTCAAGCTAAATAAATTCTTGATCTGCCCGAAAGTAACACAGCTCAAACCCCACCTTATCGTGTCAAGCAACGATCAAAGCCCAAGTTCTAGAGAGTGCTGCTAGGCAATTAAACAACTAGCGACTGACAAAGGCTGCACCTTCTCTTCCAGTGCAGGTTCATCCGTTTCGTTACATTGAAGCCGGTCATCAGAGAGCAAGAGGCAAATTCACTGAGACGAATGATCCCGAATGATCATAAGACAGTGTTTAGATGGTGTGTTCCAAACTAGGAATGCCCCCCGTTTGATGTCAATGTGTTTAGAGGGAAACCAGTAGAAACCTCCACTTTTTTGGACACCGGCTAGTTTGAGAAACACCTGTCTATCTCTTCCAGTGCCTCAGGTTCCCCCGTCGGAACTGGGATCAAAATGACATCACAAGAGAAGGGCTTGAGGCAAAACTCCAAGCGTCTGAGAATCTGACATATTGGAAAACATACCTGCTACGTAGGCGGGCAAATAAGACATACCCATCTGCTCTCAGTCTTTTTTGTGGAAATCCCAAACCGTGGAGCTGCAAGGGGAAAAAAAAAAGGAAATCAGCTCAGGTCATATCCCCAACAGCATGCGGTGCTCTCTTCTCAGTTGACGTTGGAAGGGGAGCAAACAAATGCAAATTTTAGCCGTTAAGTGGGGATTTCCCACTAAACCACCATAAGCAAAAATGAAAAATGTTTCCCAACAACAACCATGAATATCCACAACAGCATGCGGTGCTCTTTTAGTGCTCGCACCTCCCCGCAGCCCTTGCAGAACCTCGTGGAACCCTGGTGGAACCCTGGTGGAACCCTCGTGGAACCTTACCTCAGGGCCGCCCCGGACCACCCCGGAGCCTATCTGGGCTGAGACCCCAAAGCTTTCAGCTGTTGGGGAATAAACAAAAGAAGAAAACAACAAAACGGCGGCGAAATAGGGCCAAAGCTGGTTCTTGAGCTTCCGGGCGAAGGTCTCTGGCGGCTTCACGTGGTGAAAGGACAGCTCGGCGAACCAAAAACCTGAACGAGAGCCAAAAGCCATGGAACATGTGGCACTTGGTTGATGTCAACCCCACTGCACAACAAACAAACACACTTTTTGTGGGTCCAATGGAAAATCCACTGTTTCCAAAACAGTTAAAGACCAAGATCAAAAGCCATGGGCAAAAACCCATTCTGTGGCATTTGGTCGATGTGCAAAAAAACCTACTTTGTGTGGGTCCAATGAAAAATCCACGACTGAATTCCAAGGATCCAACCAAGCCAGAAAGGGCTATCGCCCCTGCACAAAAAGTGACGCCCGTTGCTGGTTAGTGGGGAAACCCACTTGTTCTGCGAGGAAAATAAAACACATGTTAAAGATCCAGCGAAATAGCATCCAAGTATTTGCCGGGTTCCGCAATGCAGCACGGGGAACATTGGCCGCTCCCCCCTTTTTGCCGGGATTCTGGGCACGGGCCCGCCTCTTACCCAGATCAACAATCGACTATCAAACATGGCTCGAACGCTTGGTCGCCACCTTCTTCCTTCGCATGTCCCACTCACAGACGCGGGGTCATGCTTTTGCAATCCTTGAGGCCTTTCCGCCATGCAATTCTGCAAGTTGAAGTCTTGAACAAGGCAAGGAATCCCAAACCTTGTACCATTTGTGCTATCCAATCCTCGTATGCTTCTCGCTTTCGTCCAGTAACAGCTTAAACTAAACTTGTTGTCCTCTGCAGACCGTCATAAGTACACGCTGTGAGGTACGAACGGGTGTTGCCTGAAAAAGCGCCTCAGGGTGGCTTTATCGCTGTCCCCTTTGAAGCAACAGGGTCCAAATGCTTAGATGAGAAAAAACCGCTTGTGCCCAGCCCAACCAAGCGTCCCTAGATACTGCCCCGCGCAGTTCCCTTGGAAATCAACAGCAGACTTGTGCCACTCGATGTTCTCCCAATTGTCTTTTACTTCCTTCACGCGGCACATGCTCTCTGCTTGAGGACAAGCCCTTTCACATTCTCGTTCTTTTGGGGTTGTGCTGCCTGCCTGATAGGTCACTTTGGCCCCCGACATTTCCGCTTGCTTTAGTCTACTCAATGGGACCTTGAAGCAACATGCTCTGGTCAATAGATTGATCTCTTGCGTCCCCTGTATTCGCAGCAATCCGTCGTTTGTCGACTTCATCAGCACACGTTCTGACCATTGTATATTGGCGGTGCTACCCTGCTCTAGCCCGATGGACATTTCTTGCTTCGTCTACTGGATCCACGCAGCGCATGTTCTGCATGGGGAGGGGAGCCAGTGGGGGTGAGGGTACAAACAAATGCCTTTTCACCGATCACTAGTTGACTTTGCAACACAGCCCGTCTTTTGCAGATTGGGGAGGGGGTTCTCTTGCTATACTCTTGTTCATACCCACGCGATAGATCAATGGTGTACCCTTCAAATTCGTCTTCAAGGACTTTCATCCACACAGCACTTGTTCTGTGGGTATGTGTGCGACTGGATCACTTCTGCCCCGATTCTTTAGCCTGGATAATGGTGGGCAAGTTTCGTCTTGAGACATTGGGGGCACTTGTGCGGTCCGGAAATCCAAAAGTTGAGGGTCCAATCAACCCCACGCCCGATCAAACGCCCAACCAATGGTGTTGAAAGGATGTTACACACCGAATGAGAAACATGAGGCGAAAGACGGGGGGAGGGATTCGGCCATTTTGCAGGGCAAACCATTCTACCAAAGAGAAAACACCAAGTGCAGGTGTGCCACACTGTTTCGGCCCAAAGACCCCCTGCGTCCAAAGTTTGAACATCTGAGACGCAGGCGGTGTCCCAAAGACCAGCACAGCCTGGAACCAGACCACAGCGTCGCGTCCCAGAGGGCGGGTCTTGCTTGCTTGCTTGACTTCGTTAAAGGGAACAACCACCGCGCAGACTTTCCATAAAAAGTCAGACACAGGAACCAAACACAGGGCTGTGGGAAATGACCACTTCTGTGATACAACAAAAAGGGCTTCCCAAAGACTAACACCCCATATAAAGGGGGAGATTCTCTTGTATCACAGAAGTGGGAATAAACCCCGAGTGATTCCACAACCCTGACCAAACATGTCAAGTCATGTGTGCGTGGTTTGATCCCTTTCTGAAAGCAAAGCGTCTAGTGAGATATGTCATTCCCGAACCTCAAGTGGGAAGCGCCTCGTTCACACCAACTCTTTTCTGGCTGAAGAAAGCCTCTCTACCTCACTTCCTGAGTGGACTGGCCAAAAAAAAAAGAGACTCAACTTGTTGTCTGCCACTAAAATGGTCTTCCCAAAAAGTTTAAGTCCATGAACTCAGGAAGCGAGCTAAGCATCCTACGGGTTGAAGTTTTTAGCTGCACGGTCTCCCCATGTCTTGGCCTCAATCACGCAGCTTGCCCTGCCAAACTGACCCTGCGAACACCATGAGTCACGCACAGTGAGCAAATCCCTTTCCCTTCTTGTGCACCTCTGTTCGGCCCCCAAACACTTTAGTACGGCTTTCCCTGTTGAGCTAGCTCTGGTTGCCTCTGGGAAAGGATTCACGCTGCAATGTACACAAGTCTCAGGACAACATCAACTTGATCCCTCCAAACGTTTCTGTGCTTGCACAGCTTCTATTGGTTGAGCCGCGCCGGGCAAAGCGGGGTCGAAATTGCTAGACTGACTTGCGTGGATCGGCCAAGAAACGTCCCAGCGGGCCTGGGAACTTGGGGAGTGAGGTGACTGCGGGTCAAAAATAGGTACCCAGAATGCAACCCCGGTAAGTGGACAAGTAGACTCAACATTTGAGGTCCCCGGGTGGTTTAATTTTGACCCATACCCAGGTGACCGATTTAACAAAGTTTGGTCGCAGCCCCCACTCCTCCCCACCTTGGGCGACCGCGATCTGGACTGCTAGCAGTAGGCAGCGCCGATGTTTGGCTTGAAAGCTCCTGATACGCGATGCGTGTGTATATTGCTCGCTGGGAATACGTGGGTATGTGTGCAAATAGGGGGACTCCCACAAATGGTGGTCTTCCTGTTGGTTTCTTGTTTAAAAGGTTGCCCTGAAACAAACACACCCCGCATATGCTTGAACAGGTCTGGGGACTCGGGAATCAAGCTCACATGCCTAGAACTGCTGTCAGGAGCTGCAGATTGTTATTTTTCAATTGGCAGGAAGGTTGGACCTTAAACTGTTAAACCGAAAATGCAACCAAAACAACCTCCTCTGGAAATGAAAGGTTTGGGTATGCGGTATGACTCTGACGAAGCCGCCGAACAAATAATATGCAGAAATGCACTAAATGAAGGTATGCTGTTATTATTGTTGTCCATATTCTAAGCCTGTCTATCTATCTATCTCAATATTGTCAATATCTCTCTATATCTCTATGTCCATCTCAATATCTCTCTGCCTTACACACCCTGTTTCGCCAAAAAGTGCTTACGCCGGCTTAGGCTGTGCAGGGTTTCGCTTACGCGGGGGCCGTCACACCACTCTTGCTTGGCGCGTAAAGGGGATGTTCAGAGCTGCGCAACTGAATTCTAGCACGACTCTATAACCTCAGCAGCGCAGCATAGCGGCCGAACCACCATATTCACTGACATGGTCTGCGCTTTTTGCATGCAAATCCATCCCCCACACACATTACATTCCCGTGAAATGTGTGATGACCTTTGAAACGTCATACCATGATACGGTTTCTAGGTAGAACTCAGGATTAAGAAACGCTTGGGCGTTCCCTTTCAAAAGGGATCCTTGAATTTTGGAGGACCCCTTTCAAATATCGGCCATGATTGAATTTGGGCTGACTATTGTTTATGATTCAGCTGGAAGAACGGTGCATGAGTCCGGTTGACACATCCTGAAACCATTGGATGGCTTCACTCAAGTCTCCAAAACTGCCGAAAGCAAACTACTCTCTTGCACTTCTGCCACATCCCGAAAACAATTTAAGTTTTGGAGGGCGTTCCCTTGTTCAGAGATCGCAATTTTGTGTCAGTGTGCGAGGTGTGGGATTGTGAGCTATGGTGGTTTCAATCACGGCTCATACATCACCATTGTGTAAGTCGTCTTCATGGTGTCAGGAAGGCTACACACCGTTTGCAAATGCTTCTCAATGGGCAGAAATGATCCGATTTCGTGCAGACATTCTTCGCTAAAGAAACAGCTGCGAGCAATCAGCTGGGATATCAATGGTTGTGCGAATGGCCGGCCTCTTGGCGGTCTGAGATCTTTCTTGAGAAGCCTCCGCAAACATTTACTCACCCTCTCTAGGTCCTCCAGTAGAGAGGTTAGAATAAGGGTACCCTCTTTTCTGTAATCTATTTTAGTA